CTGCCGTATCAACTCGACCTGCTCTGCTGTCTCCTCGATCATCTTAGGACCGAGTACTCGCCGCTCTCCAACGTCGTCCCAATAGAGAGGGGAACGACACTTGCGACCATACAGTGCTTCGTAAGGAGCCATCTGAATAGAAGAATGATAGCTGTTGTTATACGCAAACTCGGCGTACGGCAACAGTGACTCCCACTTAGCACCCCTGTCAACCACCAAAGCACGGAGCATATCCTCAAGTGTCTGAATCGTCCGCTCTGACTGACCATCTGTCTCCGGATGGTAGGCTGAACTAAACTCAAGCTTCGTGCCCATCGCCTCATGTAAGCTGTGCCAGAATCGACTGACGAATCTGGGATCTCTGTCTGATACAATCGTGACAGGCACTCCGTGGAGTCGGATGATCCCACGGGTATATATCTCAGCCAACTTGTCCAGAGACATCTTCATCGAAACGGGTAAGAAATGCGCAACCTTCGTCAATCTGTCGACCATGACCCAGATAGCGTCGTGACGTTCAGACGACCTCGGCAACCCCGTAACGAAATCCATAGTGACTTCCTCCCACTTCCACCTCGGAATCGGCAGTGGCTGTAGGAGGCCAATCGGACTCTGATGCTCGGCCTTGACTTGCTGACAGGTAAGACACCTCCTAACGAACTCGGCGACGTCTTTCTTCAAGTCTCGCCACCAGAACGACCCTTTCAGGTCGTAATACATCTTCGTGCTCCCGGGATGGGCCAAGTAAGGTGCGGTATGTGCGTCTGATAGAATCTCCTTCCGCAACGCCTCAACCTTCGGGACCACGATCCTGCCTCTGAACTCCAAGGCACCATCGGCGCCTAGCTGAAAATCCTGTACACCTCCGGCGCGAATCTTGGCCTTCATGGCACGAACAAACTCGTCAGAAGCCTGCTCTCGCCGGATCTTCTCTCTCAGTGTCGGCTGAAGCTGCATAGCACTGACACTGGCACTGGTACTCCCGAGACAGCTATGGGAAGTGCATCGATCGCCTGAAGCTGCATCCGGGCAAACTCATGAATTAACGGACTCTGCTGTGTAATGACGTACGTCAAGTCACCCTTTACCTTACGGCTTAGGGCATCTGCGACGACGTTCGCCTTTCCCGGATGATACTGGATAGAACAATCATAATCCTTGACCAATTCGAGCCAACGGCGCTGTCTCATATTAAGCTCCTTTTGTGTGAAAATGTACTGTAGGCTCTTATGGTCTGTAAAAATCTCGCAACGTCCGCCGTAAAGATAATGTCGCCAGATCTTCAGGGCGTGAACAACTGCTGCTAACTCTAAGTCGTGCGTAGGATAGTTCTGCTCATGAGGCTTAAGCTGACGTGTAGCATACGCAACGACCTGTCCGTCCTGCATAAGGACACATCCCAAGCCCTGTCTCGAAGCATCACTAAAGATAGTGAAACTCCGAGAAGGATCGGGGATAGTCAACACCGGTGCTGTAGTTAATCTCCTCTTGAGCTCCTGAAAGCTCGCCTCACATCGGTCAGTCCATTCGAATTTCACAGACTTCCTCGTCAGCTGGGATAGGGGGAGGGAAATCTTAGAGAAGCCCTCGATAAACCGGCGATAGTAACCAGCTAAACCGAGAAAACTGCGAACCTCGGACGGACTCCTCGGTGTCGACCAGTTCTGCACGGCTGAAACCTTAGAAGGATCCACCTCGATGCCTGCCTGGGTAATCACATGACCCAGAAAAGATACTCGATCAAGCCAGAACTCGCATTTGGAGAATTTGGCGTACAACTTCTCTCGTCTGAGGGTTTCAAGGACCACCCTCAGATGCTCCTCATGCTCCTTCTGACTCTTCGAGTAGATAAGGATATCGTCAATAAAGACAATAACAAACTGATCGAGGTATGGATGAAAGATACGGTTCATGAGGTCCATAAAGACTGCTGGCGCATTGCTGAGACCGAAAGGCATGACAACAAACTCGTAATGGCCGTAACGAGTCCTGAAAGCGGTCTTAGCGATGTCTGACTCCTTAATCTTCAGCTGGTGGTAGCCTGATCGCAAATCAATCTTCGAGAATACACAGGCTCCCCTCAACTGATCAAATAAGTCGTCGATCCTGGGAAGCGGGTACTTATTCTTGATCGTCAACCGGTTAAGATCCCGGTAATCGATACACATACGCATAGATCCGTCCTTCTTCTTGAAAAGGAGAACGGGTGCTCCCCACGGTGACACGCTCGGTCGGATGAAACCGAGTCGTAACAGCTCCTGAATCTGGGTCTTAAGTTCTTGCAACTCTTTAGGTGCCATGCGATATGGGGCTTTAGATACTGGACCGGCCCCTGGGATAAGATCAATAGAAAACTCCACCTGACGGTTGGGCGGTCCTCCTGGAAGCTCGTCTGGGAATACGTCTACAAACTCGCGAACAATTGGAACATCATGAGGTGTCTGCGCTTTCTGAGAATCCTCAACAAGGCTCACCAGGTAACCCTGGCAGTTGCCTCGTCGTAATAACTTAGTGGCTTTCGCCATCGAAACAACATGAGGCAGTGAACGGTTCCTAGAGCCGAAGAAAGTAATCGACTCGTCTCCCGGAAGATAGAGGGTGATCTCCCGGTCATGGCACCTGATGTCTGCATGATAGAAAGATAGCCAATCCATCCCGAGAATAAGATCGAAGTCTCTCATCTCTAGAACAAACGCGTCGGCAGTCAATACTCGGCCACCGATGGAAAGGCTAAGATCTGAGGCTTTGGCAGAGGTCACTATCTTTCGTCCCGAGGCTAAAATCACCTCGAGAGGATTGACAGCGGTAACTGCGTGAACTCCGATGGCATCGAGACATCGGCGTGAAATGAAGGTATGGGTTGCTCCAGTATCGAATAACGCGAACACAGGAATATCATTGAGAACAACCATTCCGGACATGGTACCTGGCTGCTGTGCTGCCTCCGCCTGATCGACCGCGTAAACCCTGGCCTGCTGCCTGCCCCTCTGTTGCTGCTGCTGCTGAGGCGGCCTCTGTGCCTGCTGTCGTGGTTGCTGCTGCTGTGGTGGCTGCTGAGGCTGCTGCTGGAGTTTCTTCGGGCAACGACTCGCAAAATGTCCCGGCTCCTGGCAAAAGTAACAGATGTCCTGTCCAGCACGACACTCTCCCCTGTGAAGTCGACCACAAGTCGGGCACGGTGGAATCGGCTGCTGTCTCTGTCGGGTCCTCCAGTCAATCTGTGCACCCTTTGCCTTCCTCTTCTTCTCCTTTGCTGGCTGAGGAGCTGGTAGAGCTGGTGGGGCTGCAATTGGCTGAGCTGGGGTGGATGGCTGGGCACGATCACGAACTGCCTCCCTCCTGATACTAGCGTCCACCTCCTGGGCGATAGAAACGGCACGAGCGTATGTCTGAGTCCCGTGTCCCACAATGTTATGACGGACTGCTGGGTAAAGTCCGTCAATGAACCGCTGCGCTCTCTGGGCCTCCGTACGAACAAGATCCGGTGCGAAACCTGCAAGCCTGGTGAACTCTCGCTCGTACTCATCGATAGTACGAGTACCCTGCTGAAGCGCTAAGAACTGGCGCTCCATCTCTGCCCGATAGTAGGAAGGGTAGTACTTGTCGCGGACTAGATTCTTAAACATGTCCCATGTACAACCCGCCTTTTCA